TCTGGAAAAACATGTAAAGAATACTTGGATTTTGAGCTGAGCACTATTCAAGGTAATCATGGTAAAACTGCACAACTATGGATGAAGTATATTCAGTTAATCGATATTTATAACGATTTTGTCAGGAGTACAAGAATGGGCGACATACATATTTTTCTTACCGCTGCTCTGAAAATAACGGATCTCTTTTTCACAATGGATCATCACAATTATGTCAGATGGATGACTCCATTTATAGACAATATCATCAATTCGTTAAAGAGAGGAGGTCATATAGCAGAACAACTTAAAAATGTTTTTTCTCTGTCAAGAGAACAAACAATTTTTCAAGATCGCCAATCGATTTAACCCTTGAACAGACCATTAATGCTGATGCCGCGAACAAATTGACCGGTGTAGTTTCTTCAACAAATAGCATCTCGGCTCGTCGAAGATGGGTATACAGTCATTCTCAGAGAACCGAAATAGTCAGCACTTTTCAAAAATATTTAGGCTTGATTGGCCAAGATGTTCACACAGATCTGAGACCTAGCAGGATCGACCACGATAACCGTGCCTATAGCAATCTTTTAAATTCAATATCACGGATGATCAATCCCTTCAACTCAAATGTAGACCAAGACCATGTATACAACCTTTGCTCAGGCAAAGCCACTACTGAAGTCGTTCAAGAATTTTTGATAGATGTATCTAATATAGGAAAGGATCAACATCTCCGATTCCCAGAAGAGTGTGCTAAAGAAATTGAACGTTTTTATAGACCTCAAAAGCTAAATATAATAAAACGCTAAAATGACGATATCTAAAAATAACAAAACGGCAGAAATTAAAATGGAGAGAAATTTACTTGGTCGGCTATTAACAATTTCTTACAGGAAAAAATAGACTTACAGGCAGTGTTGAGATTTCCGCTAAACTCCAATTCCGCATTTTTTTGGGTCGTGCTGATGGACTCTGGTTAAAACACAAAAAAGTATTCTGCTGAAGATCTTGGAAGGAAGTAGTCCAAATTCAAAACATGTGCCTAACAACGTTAATACCGTTATAGTTGATGGTTGTTATTTACTACACTTAAAAGGAAACAATTTTCAGAGCACATACGGTGGAATCGCCCATGAAATTTTAAAAAATCTTTCTTGATATAAAAGTCCCTCGGTCCATTTAATATTCGATCTTTACGTTACCCCTTCAATAAAAGATTTTGAGCGAAAAGCAAGGAGTGGGTCACACCAAACCACTAATTCATACTCTATTCGAAATCCACAACAAAAATGACCTACTAATATATTGAAGGCCTCGCGTGATAACAATTATAAAGATAATTTGGTCACGTTTCTATCCGAGGAATGGAAAAAAAAAAAATACTTCTCATACTTAACGAATTTTTGTTTATACTTAACGGTTGGAAAATCTTGCTTTCTTTTCTGTTCATCTCGACAGCAGGAAGTAATTTGTACTGAAATGAGAGCACTTGAAAGTGCTCATGAAGAAGCTGATTCCAGGATTGTGTATCATTTGTCTACCATCGCATCAGGCAATGTTGTGATCCACACTTGCGATACTGACGTCTTCGTTATAATTCTAGGTAATCTACACTATATTAATAACATGACAAATATATGGATGGAGACGCGAACTTTCACCAGAAATGATCACCGTTACATAAATATGCGTAGAGTTGCTGACAGCCTGGTGACAATGATATGTAAGTCGCTTCCCGCATTTCATGCTCTTACTGGAAGCGATTACATATCTGCTTTCTTCCGAATCGGAAAGCAATAACCATTTACTATCCTCAAACATGAAGAGGATCTTCAAACAATGCTTGCATCTTTTGGAGAAAAAAATGCAGTAACAGATGATGAATTTCAAATGATACAGCGTTTTGTTTGCAAAATGTACAGTCGCAAGGAGATTAACGAGCTCCGCTTACATATATTCATGGATGCCTTTGGAAAAAATTCAAGCAAAGATACTTTGAAAGCTAATCGTGGTATTGACAATATATTATTACCTCCTTGTGAAAAGGTACTGCGCAATCATGTATTGAGGACCAACTACGTTACTACGACCTGGACAAAACTGAATTTAGGAACACCTCTGCTCAACAATCCTCAAGACTTTGGATGGGAAATGACTGATGGTCAGTATAAGATTACGTGGTTTACTGGACCTGCTATTCCAAATCAACTGGAGGATATTATTCTTTCAGAAGAAACCACCAGTGAAGACAATGAAGTGAGATGATGATTCAGTTCACTATGACTTCTCCAGTTCTGAAGATAAAAGTTGTTGAATGATGATTAATGTTAAATATAAGTTAAGTTTAAGTCATGATTGTAGTGAATAATTGAGCAATATTACCTAGTCTTTAAATATTTTGCCAACAGGTTTTCCTCATGTTTTTGTGTCGAGTGTATTGTATAATGTTTGTTAATATTGATGTGTACGAAAAATAAAATTTAAACTATGTTTATATTAAATATGAATATATACTCATGCATTTAGAAAAGATTTATATAAATTTTGATTTTTTAATATTAGTGTGGCTATAAAAAATATATATATATTTATTTTTATTATTTACTTAAGAGGACTTAGTTTTTATTCTTTTTTACCCGTCTTACTTCACTAATTCTGTACTTAACTAAAGGAAATAGTCGTCTAGTCTTATTAATATTAATCAAATAAAAAAAATACATATTTATTATTTCAAAAAATTTTAATGTTTTAAAAATCTTTGATTTTATATTATGGATTTATATTAAAAAACAATTGTTAGGTCTTCATAGGTTGAAGAACTAACAACTGAATAATAAGTGATTCATTGTAAGGGATCACGTGACACTTCCATCTTTTTTCGCAATAGCTTCTGACATTCGAGCTCAGTCTGTCACTACAAAACAGCGGTATTTTGATGGCAGACTGTATTTTTATTTAATATCTAATTTATCAGTATCAAATAGCAAAATTTCAAGCCTCCTAATTATGGTTAATTTTTACACCTAAAATTGCAATTTTTTAATTTGAGTCTGCCAGTAAATGGCCGGGGCCTAACATAGGCAGACTACGTTTTTATTTAACTACTAATATATATGTATCACATAGCGAAGTTTCGAATCTCCTAACTAAAGTCATTTTTTTCATCAAAAATTGCAATTTTTTAATTTGAGTCTGCCAGTAGATGGCTGGGACCTAACATAGGCAGACTACGTTTTTATTTAACTACATATATATGCGTATCAAATAGTGAAGTTTCAAATGTCCTAATTATAGTTATTTTTTTCATCAAAAATTGCAAATTTCGAATTATAGTCTGCCAGTAGATGGCCACGGCTTAAAGAAGGCATACAAAGTTCTTTCTTCATTTTATCACACACATTCATTGTAGTTATAATTTCAAGGCTCCTAATCTTGGTAAATTTATTACCCTAAAGTTGCAATTTTTTTAATTAAGTCTGCCAATGGAAAGCAGCGGCACAGAAATGACTGACTGTTCAAAAATGATGCTTCATTGTAAAAAGATTCATCTATGAAAGTTTCATATAGCCTGCGATGAGGTCCATTTTCGGCAAATTTGGATCTCTTTGCATGGCCGCCATTTTTGAAAGCAGCGGCTTTGGAATGGCAGACAAAGTTCATTTTAATTCAAATGTTATACACTTTATGTTATTCAAACCTTCGCCTGCGATGAGGTCCGTTTTTTGGCCCTGGCTCCAGGGCTGTAATGAATGCACAAACCAAACCACAAGTCAAATGGTAAAGGTGGGACATGCCCCTACCTGTTTCAGTGATTACCGTCCAGGCGGAAAGGCATATATCCCGGCCCCACCAGTGATCCAACTCACTACCGGGAAGGTATATAGCCAATCCGCACCAGTGACCCAACTCTTAACGGGAAAGCATGTATCCTATTCACAGTCAAAGGGTTAGTGTTACTTGGCCTCACAGAACTGCATAATATAACATTACAAATCAGGTCTACAGAAAAGAATGTTATGAATACTTTTTTATTAAAAACTAAATCTGAAATGAACAGATTGATCAAATAGTAAAGGGAGGTTTGGTACAATACAGGCCCGCTCTGGCCAGGTGGGCAATCACCGAGGGCCTCACAATCATTATTTTATATTTTTCTAGTACCCCAAAAATAATTGTTTTGTTTGTTTATTTTCACAAATTTTAGGACCCCAACTTAAATGTTTTGTACTGTTTTATGGTCATAGAATTATTGGAGGAGCTCCCATTGAGAGCCCTGAATATCATTTTTGTTGGTGTAACATAATAAATAATTATAGGTAATAAATAATTACAACTCTAATTGTGGACTGGGACCTAACTACATTGTGTGGTAGGGTAGAATGTGCAAATAAAAAAATTAAAATTAAACTTTATGCATTATATCTAATCCTTATTAATAAATTTCTACTGAGTTCCAAAATAACTGAGCACTAGTATTTTTAAAATAATCTTGTTTTTAACTTCTTTAAAGAAATTTATAATAAAAGGATCTTCCAAGAACTTTTGACCTCGGACATATATACACAAGTTTTACATTCTAGGGTTTTCGATAGAACTTTTTAGTGAGATTTCTAAAAGTTTTCACAGAAAAGTTTCCATTGAATGATGAATGAATGAATGGGAAATAAATTGCATCTTGAAGTACTTTTAACAAGTTATAGCAATTATCTCAGCATTTATTTTAACAATTTCTAAAGAATGAGGTTATTTTTTTAAGCTTAGGGGTGAAGATGCTAAATTTAATAGTACAGTGGTTCTTGGAATACTGTTAAAAATCTGAGAGCTGTTACCTGGCAAACCAACTCACTCATATTTTCTATAATGTAAGATAGAATATTTTAATGTTCAGCTAAGATAAAAAAATTAAAAGTTTTATTTTTGTGGGAAGAGAAAGAGAAACAGATTCATACTGCAATGTGAAACTTACTGGGTTAACAAAAGATTTGTCTGACTGTTTAAAACTTCCACTCATAACTCGTGTCTTTTTATTCACATCTGTACATATTAGATATTTAGTATGCGTATATTTGTTATTTAGTATAATAGTTACTTTCAGGTTTGTAATACTGATTTAAAGTGGGTCAATTTAAGGAAAAACATAGTTTTTTGCATGTACATACATTTAATTTTTGAAAACTTTAGGTTTATACTTTCAATTCTTTATTATCAATGTTATCATTTCCTTCATTTAAATAATCCTTTTTCTAATCAGAATCATTAAATGGATTATGTTAATTTATATTTTTAAAATACGCTTATATTTGAAAGTGCAACAAAATTTGGTGCATAAGAATGATAAAAAAATTTCTAAAACTTTAGCTAATATATTCTATAATTGCATAGGTTGTAAGCAGAACTATATTTCTTTTATTGGAAAAGGCCAAATGATATAAAGTATAAAGATCCAGAATAAACATATTTACTTGAAATAATAGTTAACAAACATTTACATATGTACAAAATATGTTATACATATGTGTTAAAAATAAATATTTCAACAAAATTAAACATATTTTTATCAAATTGCACACTTAAAGTTAAATTAAACTTGGTTTAACAACATAAGCTCAAAAAATTAGACTTTAATGTATTAAAACTTTAATATATTCAATACACTAACATTTACATATTTACAAGAAAATTGTATACAGTAAATACATAATTTCAAAAATGAAATATCATAAGATATTACCTTCTGATATTATTCAAAACATTGTTTATCATAATTTAAAAATAACAAAATTCTAAATAACACTAGGCTTTCAGTCAATTTGAATATGAAATTCAAAACTTACGTAGCTAATTTTCACATTGTTACTAAATAAGTCTTTAAATTAAGAATAGGTTAATGTAAAAGATAACTTTTTTAAAAAATATTGACTAATTAAACAAAAAAATCACTTAAGGTAATATTGAAGGTAGAGAATCAACATCTTCAAAATTATTCCTAAAAAAAAAAAAAAATTCATTAGAAATCATATAACCAAAAATAAGGAATTAAACAAACAGAAATGATTTAAGTATCAATCATAAACAACTTTTGATAAGTCAGATTCAACTCTGAAAAATAACGCAATAATAAAAGCAAGATGATTTACAAAAGTACCACGTATTTAATTTTGTTGGTCACTATTTTTATTCCAAAGATAAATGTTATTTGACCATAAAGAATTTTTTTCCAACCATTAATCTAAATTAAAAACAAAAAAATTGTAATTTCATTTATGGTAGGGTAGTAAGAATACTGGAATTGAACTTTAAAACTAAATTTTGATTTATAATAGCATAAATTAAATGCTTGAAACAGATTTCCTTTATTACATATACATAGGTATATATGTAAATATTTGTTTAATTTTATTATTTATTTCAATATTAAATTTATAGTTATGAACAAAGTGGTTCAACCAATGGACAACATGCATGTTACAAAATAGTTCGCCGAAGGTTAGGAATTGGCATGTGGTCAGACTGTAGGGTTTAAATTTTTATATTCAAACTCTACAGTTTCAAATTATCTTTCTGGGATGAAGGGTATTTTAGACTCAGACATATGTTTTATTCATTTCACACTTCCCCAAGCTTTCGGTATTTTGTACCTTAGTCATCTATAAAAACATTTTTTAATATATAATATACTTACAATTCATAGTAATTGTCAAAACAAGTCTGCATAATATAAATACCTATATTATTCTATCCACTTGGGATGTCGCCTGTCCTGTCTATCAAACAATTTTTGTCAACAATAGATTTTTGTTCTTTTTATATCTGTTAATTAAAATGAAAAAATTAAAGAATAAAGAAAATAAAAACCTGTTTTCAGAGATTATCAAAAATTTATTATTCAATTATAAATGGTAATTATTAATAGCAAAAATTTATTGTTGAGGGAGAGACATTTTTTATCTATTCCAAATCAAATTACTATGGAGACTTCTTGTGACAATTAATATGAATTGTAAATATATAGATGTTCATATATATATATAAAATGTTCATTTAGATGAACACGGTGCAAAGCAATGACAGCTTCTAGAAGTGTGAAATTAATAAAATATGATACTGTTTGAAGGATAAAATTCTATACTTAAAAATTAAAAAACAGTCTATTTATTATATATAACATAAAAACTTAAGTAAAAGTGAAAAAGTAAAGTGAAAAAGTAAGTATAGATTACCTGATGTTTTTGTTGTACTAAATTAACGCTAATCTTTCCAACAGATTCCTTCTGTAAATTAATAAGTTTGTTCTCTGCTTCATTTTTTTGGGAAATAAGGGTTTCTAATTCGGAACAAAACTGATTGGTTGAATCACTATATTTTTTGTTCTGATCCCGAACTTCTGTAAAATATTGGATAAGTTTGGCATTTTCTTGTTCTAATGAATTGCATTTGGCCTCGATAGAATACATTTTGGCAATATTTTTTGATAACTCACAATGCTTTTGTTTTAAATTCATATACTCATTGTAAACACACTCCAAAACACTTTCAATATCAAGAGTGTTAACAGAAGGTGTGGATGGTACTAAAACCTGAGCAATGTCTTCAGTCAATGAATCATTTTTTCTCAGGTTACATGACTGCTGAGCTACCAGCTCCAACTCCAGAACATTAACACGACTATTCAGGGAAGCAATTTTTTCCCTCGATAATTTCAATTCATTATTGATTTTTTCCCTTTCTTCATCCATATCACTTACCACACCAGAACTAGATTTATGTCTTTCATCGCCTGTTTCATGCGTTTTACATATCTGGGGCTCATTTTCACATTCTTTGACAGTATTATTAATTTCTGAACCAGGCTCATTATTCTTCTTGATAGAAGGAGCTTCTAAATCAACTAAACTTATTAAGCTGCTTGTAGGGGTTTGTAGGGTTAGTAACATGGTTTTAACATAATCAGTTAAAGTAGTGGAGTCAAAGCTACCATCACAACGAATACTACCATCTTCAGAATAATGGCTGAAATTACTAAAGCATGCATATAGTGGTTGGGTCAATAGAAATTGAAACATAGTTTCTGAACAGAGTGATGGACAGCACAGCGCTTTTTGCTCAAAATAACATTTACAGTATTTTGATTCGTCAATTGTTCCTAGTTCTTTAAACTGGAATTTATTTTTGGTAGCAGTAAACAAGTCTGAAAACAAATAAAATTCATGCATTAAATACAAATATAAATAATAAATAGTATAAATGTGTAACACTACATAATTAATAGACAAAAACCATATTTAATTGTGCTTTACAGAATGTCAGATTGCTTTAGGACTTTAACCCTTAGAGCTAATTTTATACACAGAGGTCTTGCTCTTGGGCTTAAGTCATAGTCCAACATCCCGAACTGAAGTTAGAACTGGCTAATGATTGTTTTATATATTCTTCCCTTTGGCCCCTTGGACAAAGAACCACTTCTTAAATGTTTTTGGTGGGAGAAATAGGTTCAATTCACTGCGAGGATTAATCTTTGAATTTCTTCCTCCACGCTATTGTCGTGATTTACCTGTGATGAAGGATTGTACTCTTTCAACTCTGCACTGTTCTATTGAGATGTGACTTTCATCACCTTTGTGGATAGTTAGGGTACACATATATTTTTGTTTTTTTCAGTGTTAAAAAGACCCAGGTTTGCTGCAGCTTCCTCCAATGTTTGATTGCCTCTCTCACACATGTTCGGATTTCTTCCTGCAAGATCCAAATCATCTGTGAATCCTAAAATCTGGATTGTCTTGTAAAGAAGAGACCCTATCACTTGGATACTTACATTTTAAATAGCTTTTTCAAGAGATAAGCTAAAAACTAGACATGTCAGGCCATCACCCTGCCCTACACCTGTTCCCATTGTAAATCCTCTTGATAACTTCCCATTCATTATAACACAGCATATATTGTCCTCCATAGTCATTTTTATCAACCTAACCAATTTTTCAGGGACATTCATTTCCATCATTGCTTTGTATGCCTCTTCTCTGTTGACGGAATCATAGGGCTAATGAAAATACAGGTGGTGGTGGTTATGTGTTTGACATTCTCTAGTCTTTTTCAGCAGGATTCAGAGTAAATATATGATCTATTGTTGATCTCTCTTTTTGGAATCCACACTGGTATTTTTCCAGCTCTCATTTAGAAAATGGAAGCATCCTTTTAAAAAATAATGATTAAAAATATTTAATATACAGTAGGAAGGAGGTAAATATCTCTATAATTGTCACATCAAAATAAATCCCCTTTCTTATGTATGGGGCAAATGATTGTTCTTCTCTATTCATCCAGTAGCTTTTCTTCTCTCAATATGTTCATAAATAATTCTTGAAGAAATTATATCATTTCTTTCTTTAAATAGCTCAGCTGGGATGTTGTAGATTCCAAGGGCAATCTTATTTTTTAGTTTTAGGATAGCATCCTGAATTTTTTCCTGATTGGGAGGCTCGATAAAATCTAATTTTCCTTATCTTGAGTTGTATTATCTTGTCAAACCCTATTTAAAAAGATTTTAAAAGTGGCTTGCCCACCTTACCATAACAGACTCCTTAGTGACCAATGATCCGTCTTTTTAACTATAGGCATGATTCTGGGGTTTTAAGCCTCTACAGCCTTCATTAATCATTTGAAAAAAATCCTGCAATTTTTGTCATTGAAAGCAGCTTCTAAGTCTGTTAAAGTTTGGAATCTCTTCATTTGTGAGCCTTGATTTGTTAAATCTTGCTACAGAAGTAGTATCACGTCAATTAATTTAAAAAAAGGCAGTGTTCCCACAAAATAAAGTTGCCGCACTCTCCCAAAATTGCGTCCAAAGATGGCAGACTGACGACTTCAACTTTAGTTAGTTTTTTTGTCAAAGAGATTCAGCATTAAGCATAATTTCGTCATAATTGACCTTTTATTAAAGCTGGATAGTCAGAGAATAATAAAACAAGAAAACATAATTTACTTAAGCAATACAAAATATTAGCACAGTCAATTTTTCCAAGTTATTCAAACAGAAGTTGAAAATCATTGTTTTCATCATAAATAACGAAAAAAATGTCTTGAAATATAACATCTGGATAACATTTCTCTTTCTCAATCATTAATTGATTATTAAAATATTAGAAACGGTTCCTTAGAAAATGCACTCAATCGGCAGAAAAGCAAAACTGGTGTGAACATTTACAATCTTCTGCCACATCATTCAGTAGCAATAAATGGCATAGTTAATAATGTTTTTAATATATTATTATTTTATTTATCTTAATGGGGAAATATTAGTATAATAATTGAATTGCCCAAAACAACTATACAATATTCATTCTGACGGAGACAAGTTTATCAGCAAGGAAGATTTGTATAAAGCAATTTGCAAGTCTGGATGAAATCACTCCTGAAATGCTGTCGTACAGAGGCAGCAAAGGTGAAGGAATCTTTCTCTATCATTTGATAGTGATATATCATTAGAAAATGATACTATAGGAATGCAGTTGTGTCCCTTTACAAGCAAGGGTATAACAGGATATGCAACAGCCATCAATACATGCATGGTAAGGGGTCTGACCCACTGACTAATAAGTAATACTTCCAAACATATAGCATTCGTCATTAATCTAATATATTTCAGCAAGAAAACACTGATAGCCTGAATTTTTGATAGCTTTTATTTTGTTTTTTGAAGCTATATTATTGACCTAATTTATAGGGTTTTCTCTGGCCTATACTAGATACTACATATGAGTAATAAGATATTAGGCTCAACAAGCTATAATTCACTTCTTACACTGAAATAATTCTCATAAAATCCAGACAAAATTAGTAGGGTATATCAAACTAAACAGTTTAAATTTTTCAAATATCAGGTAGTCAAGACCTTCATGTATTGAATTGCAACTAAGGTAGATGCTTATATTTAATAACATAATGTTAATAGTTACTACATTTTTTAAGTTATTAACCTCAGTTGAAAATAAAGTATCATTGAAATGGCCATGCTAATACCAATTTATTAGTTTCGAGGATCATATGAATACACATACAATGCAATTTGAGTAATATGAACTAATCGTTGCAGGGGAGAGGGGAGGGAGGTGATTGAATTAGTGAAAAGTTCGGATTAAAGAGATCGCTTATTTGATCCTCTATAATTGAAAATACTTATTTAAAAAGCATACATGTACGTATTTTTTTTTTTTTTTTTACATTTACAAAAACCCTTCTGTAAACCAGAGAGGGAAATTGAAATTGAACGTCTTTGCCATGTCACTGGACATTAAAGGTGCTTTAGACTATGCCTGGTGGCCATCGATCTTACAAGCATTACATGAGAGATCTTGCCCTCGAAATATTTATTTAATAATAAAAGAAGAAGGCAGTGGATCAGCTGATTGGAAGGTTGTGCTCTCAACTGGTCTCTCCTATTTTTGTATTTGCCTATTTTTAAGCAGAATCTCTCTGATTTTTTCATTGAATACATTTCGTGTGTACACCAGAGCAGTTGATACTGCTGTTGACATATTTTTTTTTTTTCCTTTCTTTCTTTCTTTCTTCTCTTATGGTATGCGGAATACTCACCAAGTGATGTCCAGTAAGGTGCCCAAGAGGACTCGGTCTGACGGAGTTAGCTCACCAGCCAAAAAAAGAACTCGTCGCTGCCTACGAGAAACATCTCCACTGAAAAGTGAACACTTCAGATCCAGAACCTCAGCCACAACCAGGAACTTCTTCTCAAGAAATGATCGAAGAATCCCTTTTCTTTACTCCAAACCTCTACCAAGTGCTTCAAAATGACCGAGAGGTAATGGAGTCTGCAGCAATGCCCATAGAACCAAGGCCTCCTCCAATATTTGTGAAAAACATCAAAAATTTCCAGTTGTTCTGCACCCAACTAAATAAAATCTGCTCTGGCAGTTATTCATGTCTAAACAGGACCAACGATACAAAAATAACACCAGATACTGCTGAAACCTACCGAATAATGGTGAAGTACCTCTCAGAAACGAATGCGAATTTTCATATGTACCAGCTTAGGCAGGAGAGATCGTTACGAGTAGTAATAAGAAATTTACACTCCTCAACCCCAACTGAAGAGATAAAAGAAGAAATAGCGGCGCTTGGTTTCAAAGTACGTCAAGTAACCAACGTTCTGAAGGAGAATAGGGAGCAGCCTGGAGTAAAAAATAAAGTTCCACTACCTTTATTTTTCATGGATCTAGAGCCATCACCCGGTATTGAGAAAATATACGATACACAAGATTATATTACACAATGGTGAAAGTAGAGAAACCATACCCCAAGAGAGAAATAGTGCAGTGCCATAATTTTCAGGCGTATGGCCACACTAAGACTTATTGATGAACAGCACAAATCAGTGGAGTGCACAAAACCGATACAAGATCCTGCAGTGTGTGCACTATGGCTGGAGGGACACCCGGCCAACTACAAAGGATGCTAAATTTACAAGAATCTCAAATCCAGACACCAGAAAAACCAGATTCAAGATGAAGCAGGAAGACCAAGAAGAGAGAGAGAGCCTTCTACAACAGTAAACAATGGTGTATCATTTTCCCAGCTACTTAGAGGTAAGAGCTCAACCGATAACTGTCAAGCCCTGCTGCAACAACAGCCTCAATCCCAACCTCAAAATCCGATTAAACCTTATATTGATCCGAATAAACCTTACCATCAACAACAAATTCATCATATCCCTCCTCCTTCAAATGCCAGTTTGCTGGCATCTTTCCTTACCGATTTTAAATCCTTAGTTACTCCACTCATATCACTCCTCACAAATCT